GGGTTGAGGTGTTAAGGAGGCATTGTGGGTTCTCCTGCTGTCTGAGCTGTTGGTCCTCCTGGAGAAGCTTTGGTCTTCACATCAAGCATCGCTTCGTGGCTCCGGAGGGGAAGACATGTGCTGCTTGGTCTCCAGGATGAACTCGTCATGCTGCTTCCTGGCATATACCTCACTGTGCTTGTGGTCGGAGGAGCTCAGGGCCTCCGTGTTGCTGAGGACAGCTGTGGTGCCTTTCAGGATAGCTCCTGTCTTTGTTGTGAGTGTGACTTCTCGGCTCCGGTGTAGAACCCTCATTTCCACCAGGACAGCTCATTCACTCTGCTGGCATGGACTTTCTGGCTTCCACCACTGACCCCTGGGTCTTCCCGGCACGGATCCGTGAAAGAGACTGGTGTGAGTACTTCTTGTGGGGCTCTGGGCCTCCAGCTGGACTCGTGGGAGGCATTGTCCTGAGCTCTGGGTTTTCATCTGGACTCATGTGGGACATTGCTGCGGGATTCAGGCTCTTGACTAAATAATCTACGTCTTTGGTGTTGCAGATAGATTCCCTGCATTTTCCTGTGTTAACTCCTGGTGACCATTATAAATAATATTATAAACTCCATGTCCTGAACCTAATTGTTCTCTGTGTACAACCCCTAACTACAACAACCCTCTATCAAATATTTTAAATATTTTAAGATGTTAAAAAAAAAAGGACCTGAGAGTATTTTGCTCATTCACCTACATACAACACCAGGGAATGGCCTCAGACTAGGAAGGGATTACATGTCCAGTAGCAAGGGAATAAAACCTCAAATGGAAAGATGGACCGTAGATAAGAGTTTTCATCCTACTTATTTATCTTTGTGACTTCTAGTTAGTTGATTACTGGGAGCTGGAATACATTCAGACCAAATTAACAGTACTTAACTATTAATCTTTGGGTTGAAAATTACTTACTGACAAAATATATTCTTACCTCTGAGGTGTCCCTTTTGAAGCAACCTCGTATTTTCACAAATACGGAAAAATACATAGCTTTTAGGACATTTTGTGCCCATCAGGAGAATGATAGATAGGAAAAATGCTGAGTGGAACAATTACTTCATTGTAAAACTGGAGAATTAAGAAGCCAGGTGACAATGACAAAAAACTGACACTATCTGCCCAATGTCTTCACCAAGAAGATGAGAGTCACCTAGAATTCCTCTCATTGTCATCACGAAATTCACAATAAGAATTCTTAATACTTTATCAAACAGGAAGCAAAGAAGAAAAATGAGAAAATACATAATTGTAACCTTAACAGTTTTCTCTTGAAGGGTAACGAGTGGTTTCTTTCTATTAAGCAATTCCATGATCTCATGTTTTTTAAAATAATATATGGGGGAGAAGAAAAGATCTTTGACACTTCAACTCCAATTCCTAGTTAAATTTTGATAAAAGGGACATTTTCACTTGACTTGTTTGATCTATCATATTTAAGTAAAGTTTCTTTCTTTTTTATCTCAGTGCTGGAATTGAATCTCACTCAGGGGAGACAAGTGTTCTACCATGGAGAGCATCCCAGCCTACCATACTGGAATTACTGTTACAGCCTACCAGCATTTAAGCACCCCTTACTTGGCTGGCTTCATAATCACCTATGTCTAACATTGCAAACACAATCAAAGCACTGTTTACCAATAGGCTGTGTGTGACTGTCTTGCATTCACGATTTACCTTTCAAGCAAGGAGAGTCTTTTCTTTTTTTTTGATAATCCTAGTTGTTTCTCTCTTTGAAATAGAGAAACCCATTTCTATTCATATGTATTTCTGCACAGATTAATTTTAATCTAATGTCCTCAGCTCTCAAAATATAACCTGTGACACAAAATTAGCCATTTAAAAAATTTTAAATTACAGACTAGTTTTGAGTTTTAGCTAATGAAATGTGAACATCCAATATGATGACACGCAGTTATTCATCATTTCAATTGGCTTTCCCAAGAAAACAAGCAGTGTAATTTCTTTATGTGCACATTTTCAAAAAGGAAATCTTCAAAGGTGTGAGAATTAGATAAATTCTACTTCTTCATGAAAACGAGCCACACAAATATGTAAATTCTACCAACATTTCATAAGCAAATTAAGAAAATTCAAATGTAAAAGAGTACAAAGAAGCTTAATATGTCGGAGAGAATCAATGATTCACAAAGACCCCTGTGCAATCTCAGGGGTGCTAAAAATCCTGTTTCTTTTGCACAATTTATTAACGGCCACAAACTGAGGAGGGGAAGAGAGACTCAGAGATGACTCAGGGGAAATCTGACAGAGTGTATTTTACTTAAATATGTTTTGCAAATGTCTAAGTTATTTCTGGCTTAGGTAACCCTAAAGTATATTTATACTTCCTAAAATAGAAAAAATGGTTTAAAAAAACCCTGACAAAACACATTTCAACTTAAAAAAATGAATGTCTTTAAATGCTATGTCAAAAAAATCTTTAAGAAGTCTATATTGTCACCCAAACATTCACCATGCTAGTATCTAGGTAACCTGCATTCATGGCTCTTATCCCTAGGAAAGTCACAGGAGCTATAATCAATCCCCAGAAGCCTGCCCAGTATCCCAACTCCATGGAAATTTGCTCATCCTGGGAAACAATCCAACTCTATATGGCATTTTACATGGGCTCTTCAAAGATTAGTGAATTGTGCTATATGCAAGTAATCCATTTTTAAGCAAGTAAATTAAGAAATAAATCTGTTCCTTAGGAGGGAGAGCCAATGAAGCCACTCCACCTAGGCATAAAGATTTTACTATGACCTTAAAAATCTGGGAGGAAGTCACTATAAATTTCATTACCTACATTTGTGTCAGTAAACATTAAAAGATGCTTATGATTTCTATTTTCTAAAACAGAGCAAGATCAATAGAGAAACCTAAGCAAAGAATCAGTTTAAGGAGGTAAGCAGAAGTTTTATACTGTAAGACAAAACTTTGAAGGAATTGTTCTTGGGATGTGTAGGTTAAGAAATATTGAGTAAAAATAAATATTCCACAGGCTAGTATATCTAGGTAAGGATAACATAACATCAAATTTGGCTCTGAAGCTAAGGCTTTTGCTAAACCCTTAATCACATCTTATTCAAGAATAAAAGGGGCGGGGCTGGGGATTTAGCTCAGCGGCATAAGCGCCTGGCTTGCAAGCCCGAGTGGTCGTGAGTTCGATCCCTGGTACTGGTAAAAAAAAAAAAAGAATAAAAGGGGGGAAATCTTGCTAAAAATGATCACTAAGTTGTTTCTAAGAAGCACCAAGGAATCAACTCTGCAATTACCAGCCCTGCCTTATATAAACAGCATCATTCATGTCCCCATGGGCTTGTTATGGGGCTTTACAAAAATACATCCATGCACATTTTATTTCCCAAAGTATTAAACTGCATAGCAAAATGCTCTTATTTGAGGAAAAGAGGGAAGTAATACAAGAGTAAACATACAATGGTGCATACCAAATATAATGAAAAAATTAAAGTTCACTATAATTCACAAACCATATTTTCCTTTTATAAGCAAATAATAATAAATTGTGCCTCCAAGTTATATTTTTCACAATGGGATTTGAGACCCTGAATTTTATTTCCACAGCTAGCTCCCTTATCCTAGTTGAACACTACCTAAGAGTAGAACCTGCCTCTCCATTTACGTCATGGGCTCTCAGTCCTTCTAGCTAGTCAGGACTCTGGAGCAATCTTCCTTGGCAGATGTGTGAGGGCCAGCAGCCACAGGCCTTTCCTCCTGCAAACCAGTGGATGGGCACTGAGCATACAGGTGTTGAACATGCTACTTAAGTTTAGAAATTCTGGGCATTTTTAGCCTCAGGATGTTGTAGTACTGATTCTTATTTTAATAAAGGCAGGAGCACCCAGGCAAGCACCAACATAATAACAGACTTCAAAAAGCAGGTGAGCAATGAACAGAAATCTAGATCACTGTCAATAATGCATCGCCCAATGGAAACTCCCTGTAGCCGAAATATTTAGAGATGCTCACATTACATTATGCTAACAACTTGTTAGCCTCCCATTTCATATCCTTTAAGCAAGCAGCAAAGTAGTTCTGACTTAATCCTAGTGTGTGAGGGACAGAGAACATGCAGAACTTGTTAGCTTCCTTGAGGCACACTGGCCTGTCACCTACTGTCAGTGGCAAACCACTGTCAAGTGTTCTACAAGACCTGGCCTCCTCTCCTCACTCCATGCCACCCTCTCTTCTGCCTACTTACCTTGTTCAAGTGAACTAAGTTTCTGCTTGCCTCATTGCCATCAAAACATGTCATCCTCTCTTTCTGGAATGTTCCTCCTTCCTCACTACTCAGAATTCTCACTACAACTTAAAATCTATTTTTCAAGGATGATTTTTCTAATTAGATCCCATCCCAGTTCCTCAAACAGTTTGGCACTATCTCTTTCTTATCACAAACTAATGATTATTTATTAATTATTTTTCAAATGTAGGGCTTCCTTGTAAGCTCCAATGAAAAAAGAGCAAACACTATTTTCTTTTGCCATATTCCCAATACAGATCCCTAAATCAGTGCCTGTTACTCAAGAAAGTATTTGTTAAAACGATAAAAATTTTAAGTTTTATATGATAGTTCAACCCTTCAACACACTTCCAGATAGTGAATTTGGTTGCTAATTTAAGGAAAGTAAGGTCAGAGAAACTGATCTAACATAACTCAATTAGTTGGAAAAAGCAGAAACCAGATTTAAAGAACTATCTGACTCAAGCCATGGCTCCAAGACCATTTCATCAAATCACTGCATGGGGCATAGAACAGCCCAGGAGCTTTAGGTCTTCAAAAGATCTTCACAGTGAGAATAATTCAGAGCGTCTCTCTCAAGACCAAATTCTTTTTTTTATATTGTTTCCTACAATTGGGAAAAGGAGCATCTTTTGATGCCTGCGGACTGAGTGGTATAAGTGCCATTTAGAGTATAAATGAAAGAGATGAGAAGTGAAAAGACACTTACCATAATTCCTGTGAGCAAACAGACTCCTTTCCCACAGTATGTGTTAGGTACCATGTCACCATAGCCAATGGAGAGAAAAGTTATTGAAATCAACCACATCGCTCCAAGGAAGTTGCTAGTAACATCTTGCTGATCATGGTACCTGAAAAACAGCAAAGAACGCCAACCCTTTATAATTAATCTATAACATGGGAGTTGAGGACAGTTTGATTTGATTCAATGAATTCTTTGTGTTTTCCATAAACCAATCTAGTTGGAAGTTTTCCAAACTTGTAATTTTAAATAAAATTGAGCTTCCATCTTAGCATTCTGAAAGACATCGGAATTTCTTCAACTTTAAAAAGAATCTGAAAGAGAAATGATAACATATGAAAACTATTTTTTTTTTTTACATTTATCTTTGTAGCTTCCTGACTTCTACTAGTGTCTCACTATTGTTTGGTGCCTAGCTGACATGCCAGACCCATGAGACAATATGCAGGTGCCCAGTCTCACACCACACGCTTATAGCAAAAAGAATCATGTTATACCCTTGGGACTCTCCTTTTTCTATTATGACATTCCTAATATGGGCCAACTCTTCACTGTCCTTTAAATTCAGATGGGAGTCTTTGCAGTTTAGTCTCCCTAACCTCTTCCCTAACTCACCATCTGTGTGTCTTTCTGTGTATCCAAGGGCTATACTATAAAAGTTACGTACCTGGAGGCCCTTCATCAGTGGCCATCCTTGAAGACACAAACTATCTCTCTAATCACGCAGTCCCTACCAGGAACCAGAGGTAAACAGAAGTGTTTATCTTACCAGTTGAACTTATAATCAGAGGGGAGCAGAATACAATTTGAAGTACTGCATTAATTTTTGTTTTCTGGTAAAGAAGGGCCTTGTGTCAGAAGCACATCTGCTATTTTGTTTGAAATGCCAGCACTAAATAAATCTCCTGTGCTCACAATGCAGACACTGTCCTCCATGCAGACACACAACAGCTGGGCCATGTGAGCTACTGCACTGGGTGACTCTGCTCTGGGAGTACACTCCCTGAAGCCCTGAGGCAGTGACCCTCCCTAGGTCTCTCCAGCAGTCAGACCCTAACTCTGCTCACTAGAGGCGCTGCTCACTCTTAACACCTCCAAAGAAGCGTCCTTCTCAGAATACCAGCTGGGATGGCTTCACTCTTCTCAGCTTTTATTCTACAAAAGATGCCAGTACTGATTTCACTCTGGATTTATTATGCCTACCACTTGCCTTGGGTTCCGGAAAGCTCTGCATTTTGCCCCTGCCCCTCATGTCAGGTTTCTGCTTTTATTACCCAAGGTTCATGGAATATAAGCTTTGCTCTGCAGTCTTAGAAGATCTTACACTCTGTCATGCTTATCATTCTTGTATCTTTGCCTTCTTCCAAAAAAGACAGAAGAAACGCTGTTGCTGTTACTATGGAATGAGGAGCTAGTAGCTGGAGTGAGTGGAATCTCAGTGTAAGAAGGAAGGGCAGTCACTGGGTCCCCTGAGAGAAAGGAAAGGGGATTAAACAGGCAGCCAACCCCGGGAGAGGAGCATCTTGAGAGGCAGTAGGAAGGCAGAAACTCCAACTTTTTCACATCCAAGGACAGCCACTCTGTCCAGCTGTGGAGGCCCTCTGTCCAGCATGTCTGGGTGGAGAGTCTGTTATTGCCAAAGGGAGGCCAAGATGTATTCCTAGCTTTCCAGAGGACAGGCAAGTGCATGTTTTTTTTTCCCCCTTTGGTAGAGCACCTAACTAGAGAGTTCAGTATTCCACACTATGAACTACAGTCTCTAGAGGGCGGCTTCTTTCTACTGCCCAGAGGGACCCTCAACCTTGGCATGGGTATGGAAATCTCATCTGTTCTTCCTGCAGCATTTTCTATTTGGTTTTCACAGTTGGGAGCTGTAAATGACTGAAAACTGCAGTGAGAAGCAATGAAACCTTTAGCCAAACTAACTCTTCTTCAGTTGCTGCCTTTAATGAGTGCATGTCTTAAATATACATGTAAATTTCTGCCAAATGCTCTAAAGTACTAGGCTATTCTATCTTTCAGTAAATATTTATTATGTGCTATGCACATTACACTACACTCTGTAATCCTGTATGGAAGGACTAATTAAAAACAAAAATATGTTTCTAGAAGTTGACATTTTATGGCTGGTATTCAATGGTAAATTATCCTTTTTTTTTAACTTATGAAATAATAAACTTATCTAAAAATAGCCCAAAATGGAACATAACATCTCATACTGATGTTACATTCAGGCACACGTAGTTGTGAATAATCAAGAGGTAATTAAGAACTAAATTGGGAAATTAGGTACTATTAGAATAATTACCTGATTTCTTTCCTGGCAACTCAAACAAATACTAGGCTTATCATCATGATAAGAATACCCCCAGATTTTGAATCAATGCAGAGTCACACCCTCATGAATGGCACATACAATGTAAGGAAATTTCTAAACATTTCTTTGAGCAGAAGCTAATTTCATAGACTTAGACAGTTCCATTCTTCTTCAGAAGAACTATTCTGAGAAAGACATGAAAAATTAGCTCATGTGCAAATTTCAAGTTCTGATTAATATAAATGCCGTTTTAATGAAACATACATTAAGTAAGATTAAAATTAAGGCAAGAAATAGCTGGTGATTTTAAACTTTTGAAGACCGCGGTTTCAGCAGAAGACTGCTTGAACTGTGTCATTTAGCATTCCCTCTTTGGTACACTTAAAGATGGTGAGATGAGCTTTGAAGTTTCCCAAGAAGCAAAATGTTCCTTTTCTCATTTTCTACTCCTCATTCATGTCTTCATTCATTGCTCAACTGTGGATCTAGCATGGTTTCCATCACAATAGACAGCTCAGTGTGAAATGTAACATTTGCTTAAGTACATGGGGGTTCTCCAAGGAAATCACTGAGATCACCCTGTAAGAGATGGCTACACCCAGCACTCCTGCTTCTGGGACCTCCCTCTCCCCCTATAAAGCTGCTAAGACTTCTTGTAAAGCCCCTTCTCTGCGCATGTATTTCCTTTCACCTGGAAACACCTCACCTTACATTTCTAGCCCCCATCTTTTTCTCTGAGATGCTGCACACAGCTTCTGGTCCACATGATTCTCTAGGCTTCACCTGTCTCTGTATCCACAAAACATGCTGCAGATATCTTGCACCAGTCAATAAATGTTTACCGCATCACAATATGTGATTTGTAATTGTATAATGTGACCTTTGAACTGAAATCATGAAGAAGTGGAACATCTATGTCTTATTCATTGTGGCAGCATCACATAATGCTTAGAAATACATAAAAGGAAATTGGTATGTATTAATTAGTGTGGCAATGTGAAATGTATTCTTAACCTGACTTCATGTGTTAGCGCCTCAGGATCACACACAAAAAGCAAGTGGAAATAATTCTTGGTCAGAAATCAAGATAATTATATTTGTGCTATATGCAAGATCTTTATGAAACTTATAAGATATATTTATAGCTATAAAAAGAAATTCAATAGTAGAGATTAATAAGCCCAAGCTATGTTTGTTTATCCCTCTCTGTTAAACTTATCATTAATACTAGAAGTGGCAAAATATTTTATTTGAAATGTCAGCTCTGGTCTCAAATCTCAGCCTTAGATAAGTAGTGCAAATATTATGCAGATTTAAAGGCATGTAAATAAATTCTTTTTGAATCTACCTTGCTCTCTCCTGAATACCAGTATAATGACCGTAAGACAATAAAAGACATATAAATTTACAGCAAAAGGGAAAGGTACAGAGCCATCAGAGAATTGGAATTAACACATTTTTATATCAGTGAAACTGCATCATTCTTTCAGCCAAGACTGAGCAATGGGGAACTAGAGTTCTAGCCCTCTCTTGAAGCAACTAAACACACACACACACACACACACACACACACACACACACACACACACACACGAGAAACATTTGGAATAATGGATAGCAAGATACTAGTCTAGCAACAAGAGATGATGATTCTTAAGAGACACTTAAGAGCTAAAGTCAGTCATATGCCTGTCCCCACTTAACACCTTAAAAGAAACTATGGAATGCAGCCCAGGAAAGGGAACAAGGCGAAGCACAGGGTCTCCCTGTGTTGAAGGATGGTAATGGTAATTTAAGGAACTGAACAATCGCTGTCTCCGGGATCCATGTGAAGAGAGATGTGCGAGGAGAGTGATCCAGGAGACCTCCAGGGTATCTCCACACAGTACATAGCTGTAAACTCATCCAAAGCTGAAGTAGAAGTACTATAATGTAAAACAGTGCAGAGTCACTGGGAAATGGACCATAGTAAATGGTATAATATAGAGTGACAATAAGGCTGTGTTAACTTGGGGATAGTATACCTAAGTGTATAAGTGTGCCATCAGACCGTTCTCCTATACAAACTTACCCCCACACACAAAACCCAGTGCAACAGCAAATCAAAGACTAGTTACTGATAATCCAACAAAGCACATAAGATGGAATAAAAGATAGTCCCAAAGGAAACAAAAATGGGGGTGAGGGAAACAGAAGCAAAGGACAGATGAGACAGAGCACAAATAATAAGAGAAAATGTGGTACTTATACACAATGGAGTACAACTCTACCATAAAGAAAGATAAACTTGAGGCATTCACAGGTAAATAGATACAACTTGAGACCATAATTATATAAGTGAACTATGTCAGACACACAAGTTTAAATACTGTATGATTGCTCACATATGAGAAATGTAATCCCATGATGCTGGCCACAAATCAGATTGGCTATAAACCAAATTAAATTCAATGGTTAGGCTCCAAGTTGACCTTACGGGATAATTTGATTTGATTTGCAGGTAGAATCATGGAAAGAATTAAGTTAGTGAACTGAGGCAGCACTGTAGAGAGAGATAGAGAGAAAGAAGATGAAGAAATAGATAGTTTTCAAATAGCTGCAGAGCAAGAGATGGAGAGAAGGGAAAGTGATGAAAACAGACTTTTGAAAATGGAGGAAGACCAAGAATTGGAACGAGTGGGAGAAGGGGATGAGTAGGAAATAAAATTAAGATGCATTATGTATATTACCAGTTCTCCATCATAAATGTAATCAGTATGTCCTGCAAACACATACTAATTTTAAAAAGGCAC